GCCTCAGGCCGCTGCCGCGGGCGCGGCGGGTTGGGCCGGTTGCGGCAGCGGGGGGGTTTTTTGGGGGGGTTTTTTTGTGTTTTTTTTTTCCTTTTGCCCGTAAAGGGCAGCCGGAGCGGCGGCTGGGGCGAGGGCAGCTGGCTGCGGAGGTCCGCCGTGGGGTGGGAGGGAGTTTCTCCTCAGGTCTGGCCCCGCGCGTTTCCCCAAAATAGCCGCCTGTCCGCCAAAACACGTCATGAGGGGAGCGATGAGGCAGGCGGCGGGGGGGCGGTCCAGGCCCGAGCGTAACAGGCAGCTTTACCATAGAAACTGAGGTAAACCCTCGGCGAGATTTACAGGCGGGGATGAATTTGCATTTAAATGTCATTTTAAGGCTTTCAAGTGTACCTACCGAGCACCTCCCTGTGAGCAGGATGGCAGAGCCTCTAACAAACAGACTATGGACGTCACGAGCGCAGGTTTTGTTCCACCTTCAGCAGCCCTATCCATGTGAACTAAGTTCCATGACTTTCTACATGTTTGCAAAAAAACAGGCCATAATAAGATGCTTTCCAACAGAGATGAGGGAGGAGGCGATGAAAAAGGCACAAGAAAAGTGTTCTTCTATCGAGTTCCTTGATTTTACGGGTCTGGTGGCGTTTTGTACACTCAAGAACTAGATAACTGCCTTGGAAAATGGGGTATCATTCCTTAATTAAAAGCAATCCCCGCAAACCAATCCAAACTACTGCAGCGTAACTTCTCTCTAGTGATCATTTAGTGGTAAGGAAATTAATGCTTATGAAAAGGCATCATAGCGCAATTTCCTTTTTTCTCTGTCAGATGCTACTCATGTTCTCTTGTGTGAGAAAGAATAAAGGAAAGAACAGCGAATGCATCCAAGAGAACAAAGATCAAATTTCCTGAAGCAAGAAGCCTCATTACTGAACAGCCTTACATTCACATACAAAATGGATTGTTTTTATTTTCTCCAGCTGTAAATAAAGTAAACCTTTTTATTTTATCCAGATGTAAATAAAGGAAATGGGACAAGGTGAAAATCAATGCAGACACAATCTGCAGGAGTATCTTTTCTTTAAATAAATTCCCAGTTTTATTAGCACAGAAGTGGTTTCAGCACGTTACTATAAAAATACTGTCTTGCTGGAAAGCTGGCTTCTGTCACTCATGCCTTCTGTGTACAGGCAGTAAAGCTGACTGGCGTGTTAGTTCTTCTTTCAGGCTGAATAGAAGGAGGACGTAAGATTGGCTTTGGATTAAGGTTGCCAGAGACAATGGAAATCGATGCTCATGAGCACAAGCTGCTTGCAGGGCCCAGCAGGTTGAGGCTTTCCTGGGTAACTGGTGGCAAACGCATCTGCTGAGACACAGGGCTCTGTGGAAGGCTTTCTTGAAAACCGCAAAAAAGCTTCCTGTTCTTGTAGCTGTTTTCAACAAAAGCAGGTTCTATGTACTAAATACTATACTTCAGGCTATACTGAAGAATACGCCTATTTGTACTTTTCAGTTCTCCTTTGCATAGAAATGATCCATATATCAGTTACATCTTCTTGCTTAAAAGAGTATTTTCCGCATGGGTGATTTTTCATCAATCTTAAGTCAAGTGTATTACTATACTGAACACTGTGATGGAAATATAGGCTGTCTTCCAGTGAGAAAGAGAGATGAAGCTTTGAAAAGGGCTACAGGAGAGACACCCTGTATGAAGTCCATGTGCTGAATGCGCCTGACAGCGTAACGGTGAGAATTGTTTTTCTGACAGAGGGCACAGCAAAGCATAAGACACCAACTGAACCTCAATTCTGGCAGACTATTTCTCCAAGAATCCTCTGCCTTCCAGACCTTCAGCCACCAGTACTAAATGAAATTAAAAGGCCGATCTGGCTGAGAACAGAAAATTCTGTCAAAGCTACCTGAAGTGTCACATTTCACTGTAATCTGATATGCATGATTTACTAAAATCTGCAGGTTTAACTAACTATCTGTGATAGTTTTCAAGTTACTTTATTTTAATAGTGTTAATTTAATTCGGGAAGTGTTTATTTTATTTCAGCGTATTTGAGAAGAGCATGCCTCTTTTTCATTTTATTTGATGTGCTTCCCCTTTTTACATAGCTTCCTAAAAATACTTTTACAGACCTTGTGTTTTAACTATGTTGCTGATTACATCTGCATGAAAATATGCCTTTTGAGACGTATTTTCTGTTTCACAAAGAAACTACAATGCCCTGTATGTTATTATACCAAAACAAATAGCACCATTGTATCCTTTGCCATTACCTTTTATCATTCTTGGTAAGACTTTACTCAAGCCTTTTACATCACAGGCAGTGTCATCTCTGAAAATGAAAGTCCTGTGCTTCTTTCAGCTTGCATTATTAGATCTCCTAAAAGTATTAGATGTATTAATTCCAGTGTAAACTTAAGTGCAGGTAGTAGCTGTACAGAGGAGATACTCTAGTTGGTCAAACCTACAACAGCGTGAACACCTCTCATGCCATTGGCAACACTCAACCGATTTCTGGGATAATTATGAATTTCCTGTAAATTATAAAGGTGGCAATTGTTTTGCAGATCATGTCAGTCTCATATTTGCATTTTTTTCCCTTGGAGACTATTTCTGAGCATAATTTGTATTAGTTGCAGTAAAATGATTTGATTTTATCAGATTTACTTGGAAAAGAACGGTAGTGTGAAATCTCAGCCAAATAATGTACAGTTGTGTAAGATCAAATGACTCCTTGAAACTGTACAGATGTCCATAAAAGCAAGAAGTCAGAACAGGGGAAAAACAACAACAACAACAACAAAAAAACACTTAAAATGAAATTAGTAATATCATCTCAGTACTGGCAGGAAAGAGAGATGCTCAGAATGGAATGTGTGTATTTGTGCTTCTAACATGACTGATACAAACGTCCAGTCTCGACGGAGAGATGGTGAACACTGTCCTACCAAATGGCCATCAGAGGTAACATCAACCTACCTATCAAAAATGCAGTAGGTATATTTATCTAGGGTGAGATCCATACTTTGGGTTGCTGAAATCATGGTAATTCAGTAAGCACATGTTAAGAAATGCCAATGTAGTAAAAAGGTGTGGTCTGCTCCAAAAAGAAAGACGACTATTCAGGTTCTGAAGATGAAGAATAAAGATGAAGAGCAAAGCATGTGAACCTGAAGAGAAAAGAACAAATAATTCAGAAAGAGCCTTGACCCAGAGGGACTTCTCTGAACATGTTTTACCCGCTCACTCACTGCTGAGAGCCTCTATGTACCCGTGGGGAAGTACGTGACAGGTTCGGTAATGTCCTTGGAGGCTTTGTGCAGCGTGAAAATTTCTTCTGATTTGTAGAAACAAGTAAAACATAGAATCTGATCTCTAGCTAAGAAACAATGCCAGCAAGGGACAACTGGTTTTTTTTCTTTTAAAGAAAAAGATTATTTTTTAAAAGTTCAGTTCTCCATGTTGAAGAGGAATTGTCTGTAAATGCTATTCCCCCTCAGGATAAGCGGTTCTGAATCCTTTGCCACCTCACATTATCTTTTTCATCCACACACCGTGGCACATATGGCAATGCCAAATACCATCCCCATGTGGTCCTGATAGATCTCCTTGCTGACAAGCAGCATCCTGGACTTGTGCTGAGAACAGCAAGCAGCATGCTGCTCCACCAGTCATTCACCCCCTGCTCTTGGTGTTTTTGCTTGCAGGAGCAAAGACTCTGTTCGGGCTCTAAATATTCTGTTCGGTGTTGTCCTGCTCTCCCTGGAATGAACATCCCTCAAAATCTTTAGTAAAGGAACACTAGGGTGGGAGCAAGAATGAAACTTGAGGGCAAGACGGAGTGATCAGCATGCTTAGAGCAAGCTCAGAGAAAGAGAGACGCTGGAGGTTGTGGGGGTGGGGAAGGACTCAATAGAAGCAATTGGGTAAATGCTTTATTAATTTATTGCAATTCTGCCATTCCTTAGGAAAAGAAGAAAAGGAGAGGGAATAATGATCTCGGCTAAGAATGAGGAGGAAGTAAAACTTTTTCCTCGGTTTCTCACCCCTCTCTAAGTTTTTGCTCTCATATTCATACCTAAAATTTTTCTCCAGGTGCCTCAGTTTTGGAAAAATTGGCCATTATCTTGAATATGCTTGACTGATTAGTGTATGTTTTTAGAGCCACCCATCCAAGTTGCTGCAGTTCCTGCTGTATTAATAATTAAGCTATAATAATAATAATTCTTGTGTTCTCTGACAACGTTACTCAAAATGATATGTGGATGTGCCATATTTATTACAGGAAATAAAACATTTAAGATGTAAAATATGTACATAAGGCAAATGTTGTCATCCACAAGAACGCCTTTTGTCAGAAAGGCGTAGCTTCAGTCCAAGTATTCCCAAGTTTGACTGACTGTAACTATTCTCATACACCATTTCATTTCCCACAGCCCTTTAATGTGAATTTCAGTTATTCAGAACTTACAGCAAAGACCATGAAGACAGAATCTGTTGCACTACTTATTTTGGGGCAGAAGTGCAGCATATATAACAGCAAGATTCCCCAGGACTGGAAGATATGGAAATTTCTCTTCATTGACCCAGTAGAACAAATAGATTGGCATCTCACGGAAACTACACAGAATCTCAAAGCAATGAAGAAGAAAGAGACAGATGATGGTGTAACTTCTTTCAGCATTAAACCACAATCCCACTTCTCAGTCCTGGGGGGGGACGCTGGGATATTTGGCTACTGGGGCTCAGGGCCAGCGCAGAGCACCGTGGTGGTAGCCCCCTTCTTCTGGGGAGAGGCCCCAGGAGAACGTACACAATATGAATTGTTGGGTCCTCAGCCGCTACAAATGCGAGGTCGGGGCTTTGCAGAGCATTTGTC